GTTACCAGGTACTGGATGGATTTCTCTTACTTTTTGCCAAAATTACCATGTTACAATCTTGTTTTTAGATTTAATTGTGATGTTTTTCTTATTATCTTAGATTGTATCTAATCCTTATTAAGTTTGCATTCTCAATTATCTTGGTTAATTAACTCCTAATGTTGACATGTCAACTTAATCTTTTTGGCAACATGAAAATGCCAATGTCATCTTTGGGATGGGGGGTTACTTCTGTTTTAGCCTACAGCACTAGTATTTCTTTTTGCCAAAATGCTAGTCCCTGAATTAGGACATAAACAACGTTCAGGGTATCAGAATAATATTTCAAGAACAAGGAGGGTTTCAGAAAAAGTTTTCATAGATATGACTTCATGTGTTGTTTTCTGAATTCTAGTTTTTGACATACAAAATACACAAACTATTTCTGTGCTAATTAGGGACCAGAACATTAAGCTCTGCAAAAAAAAAATAAAAAAAAAATGTTGCATCATGGAGAGAAATTCTATTCAGAATTCCAGCTACCCATTCCAGGATGTTCCAGTTTATATCCCATTCATTCTATTTTATATTTTCTATGTGCCAACTCTTAACATCTTGTGGTCACCAAAAATGTTCAGTTCTCATTAACTTAAATAACAAATGTTCTGATAGAAAATGTTGGTGCTTAAAAAGCAATGACAATGCAGTTTTATCCTGATACTATATTGCCACACAATTTCAATAACTGCAGTTTAGTGAACTCTCTTATTCACAATTCATATGTGGAAGGAATCACGTGTGGTACAATTTATTTTCAGGTTTTCACTGGAATACAGGTTTAGATAATATACTTTGCATTGCTCATAAACAAGTTTGCAATTTCCAAATTATGGTGCATAACATTCTGGAAAAACTGTTAAGTGTTATAGAACAGATTCTGCTGTTTCATTTCAAGTAACTGAGAATGCAAAATTATTAGCATCACTGAAGAAGCAAAGTTTTGCTATTCTATGTTAAGTATATTCTGTTCGATAACATTATCAACAACCGAAAATAAATACTTACCTATCTATATTTAATTACAGCTGATTACATAAAGCCCCCCAAATCATCTTACAAAAATGTAAACAATATATAGTCAAAACACAGAAATATCAAACAGAATTAAAAACTAACCAATAATGGTTAAAATATTTTAAGAATTTAGTATCTGTATAACAATGATTTGTGCATATTCATCCAATAATTATCTGCATAACTATGAATTATAATTATTTTTTAAACTGTCAACACCTATAAACTGAGAATCTCTAGAAAATGTTATATAGGGTACACAAGGAAAAAAAGCACAAATTCATTGTATAAACTACAATCTTGAGTTTTCCAGTGTACCAATAGTATGCTTTTGATTTATTCAACATTTAGAACATAGGCGAAATTATACAATATTCAAATTTAGTTTTGGGTAATTCAATGCTAAGTATTTCTCTAAGCAACTGGATATTCTTCAGTTATGATATAAATATTAAGGCAAAATCTCACCTGCATTTAGCAAGGCTAGACATACTTAAGACAATATCTCATCTTTATAGATCAATTGATCTGACAAAATTAAACAAAGACTACTTTAAGAACCATACTTCATCAAAGCATCCCATATTTTATTGTGACTGTTTCAGCCACATAAAATAGAAAGGAAAAAGTCCCCAGCACCCTTTTTTTCACCTCAGAATTGCAAAACCAGAAAAAGTAGTAGTTCTATGTCAAGTGCTACAAATAAGCCAGAACCCCACCCCCCACCCCAAAAAAAACCCAGAGGAAGTATTTAACAGTTTTTAGAAAACTCCCATTATGGAAATATATGTTTCATCTTCCTCCTATACTGTCTTCCAGTATAGGAGGAATTCAAGTACAATGCATCCTTTTTTTCTCTTTAGAAGATGCTTAAAGAAAGGATTGTAAAATAAATCATCAGATTCTCTCTTTAAAATAAAAGCACCACAAACCTTACTCTGAGAGCCGGTATATTATGGTGGTTAAGATCTGGATTAGGCATGGAGATCCAAATTCTAGTCTTCTCTTAGGCACAAAAGCTAGTGGATGACCTTGGCCAATCACTTTCTCCTAGTCCCCAAAGAGCATCAGCTCTGTGACAAACTGGCTTAAAAGCAAACCCTTCATCAACTCATGCACTGATGGCTTTGTTGTGGGAACATACACAAAGCATCCAAGCAGACCCAGCAATCAAGCACAACAAATGCTAAAAACCACCACCATTATCATAGACTGCAATCTACCATATATCTCTTTTCAAATCAATTATCACCAACAAGGCAGGAGATATTTCACATGGAAATGAAGGCCACTCCAAGAACTCAAATTGGATTTGTTTCAAAGCAAACCCCTTCTTAATCTAAATTGTGTAAGCCTATATCTATTCATGCCCCAAAGTCAGCAACGTTCTTCCAGGATCCAATATTTAAAGGTTTACCTACAGATTACCCCCTTTTAGTTCCTAGCACCTGCCAAGATGATAAAAGCAAAGAAGAAAAAATGCAATTTCTACATACGTGGTAGAACATTAAAGGCAGGGAGGGAACTGTTGGTCAGGAAAGGCCGCATCCTGAGAAACACACATACAAGAAAACTGCTGTCCCTGATTGCCAGCATTTGCACTTTACAAGTAAATTGCATTTTACATCAGAAGCAATAAAATATATAAATAATCATGAAGTCATATTCACATACTTGCTGAACAAAGAATTTTTGTTTTTACACTTTAAGGGCTAAAGAGGACAGAATAACAGCAAAACGCAAAATTCACAAGTTTGAACATCCCTTTACAGCAAAATGCACTTACTAAATCAATACTATACAAAAATATAAACAGAATACACATCATATCAATCTGCCTAGCAAGCTAATTAGCATAGTATTTTGATTTTTAAATATATCTGAAGTCACCACAAAGACGCACAAGAGACTACTGAGTGCAATTAAGATAACAGATCAACAAGCCAATCAGAACTTCCATTTTGCCCTTTCAAAATGATCACAAACAAAAACTATGTTTTTGAGCCTATGTTCAAACAACCAAGCAAATAAGCGGGCCAATAAAACGTATATTATACTGATACTTTTTAATTTACATTTCATCTTGTTTTTCTAAGAAAGTTATACATGTAACAAACATGAACTCCAACTTCCTACAGGAATCTTTAATCAAAAGAAACCCCAAAAAACAGTGGTTCACTTTCTTGACAGTTGAGGAAATAAGTTCCTTAAAATGCTTCCTGATTTGTCCCAAAACTTCACCTCCAGATTACCCTACCCAGTCTAAATCAATAGCAATAGGGGCACAACAGGTCCTTCTAGCTCTACCAGCCTAGAAAGGAAAATTCAAAGTATAACATTCCATGCTGAAAGACAAAACACTCTTCCACTCAAAACAGTCATGTTTTGTTTTGTATTTGAACCAAAATTTAGTGAAGAAATGTGTTTTATTCTGAGTCTAAAAATGTTCATTCTTTTTCAAAAGTAAATATTTTGTTCCATTCCAAACGTATCTATTAACAAAGACCGGCATGAAGTCTTTGTAAATAGATACATTTATCAAATCATATGTTGTATATACCTTTTAAAACTTATATAAGCATTTAAATATCAATTTTCTTAAAGTATATACCACAAAAAATTCAAGGGAACCCAATTTTTCTTCCAAACTCTGTACTGTAAATCCAAACTGATTTTTAAGCGAAACCACCTAGCTACAGAATGATTACAATTATTCTTAACATAGGACGGGCCTGAACAGAGCATTTTAACAAAGTTAATAACAAAAGACAGAACATAAAAATCTGTTTCACAATACACAAAATTTTATCATCCCAATTAAGTAGTGTAATTACAGCTGAGTTAAAGGAGGGAGTAGTTGCTTCATATGAATGTGTCATCAAATAATCCCATATTCATTCTGTAAAAGACAGAGCTTTATGTCATAATACTTCCTTGCAGTTTATGAATTTCACAACTATACAGCCTCCTCTAAAGGCAAAGATATCAACATTTCCTACTGTAGTTTAAAATGACAAAGGTTATACATAGAAAATTCAGAATAAATCTAAGTAGCAACTTTTTAAAGTCAAGATTTGCCCACACATACACAACCCTAGGTATAAATGACACATAACACAGTATGTGTCATATACAAGAAATAAAAACTCTTCCACAAAGGTTTTAGAAAAAAAATGTAGTTTCTTTAGCAATCTACATATTTCCATGTTGTAATATACTAGCAATATTCAATATTAAACCCCAAATATTTCTCTTCAGATATCTATGGCACAGATCAACAGTTGTAAAAGTTTCAGACACTATGAAGTATTTTAATGAAAATATTATTTGAATCTTTAAGGCATTTCCCTTATCTAGATATTAAATTCTTTCCATTTCCAAAATCAAGCATTCAAATATATCTCAGAATAAGATTCTAGAAAAGTATTGATCTTCAAAGAGCAAAAAAGAAAACAGCTGTTTCAACAAGAGTATATAATTAGTTCAGTGATGTATGGTTTTCTCAGTAACAGAAAGGGGCTTCCACGTATCTCCATTCCCTCATCTCCACAAGCCCATTTTTCTGAATATCTCATTAATATTATTAAAAGGGAATAGAAAGAAATAACATGCCCTACTTCTTAGGAATGTTAAAGTACTGACATCCGCCATTTTCTCAGCAAAGGAGGAAGACATGTTGGAACAAAAACACAAAAGAGAGCAGCCATTTCTATTGGTACATCCCAGGAGTTGCCAGCTACCCCCCTGTATTTCAGAAAATGATCAGAGAATTAGTTGGGGGGTATGAAGCAGCCGAAAGAAAAGAAGCTCTCAATATCTTTTATACATGTAGTTTAGCATAACACTAGGTAACAAAGTAAACACTTCCTCTAACACAGAACAAAGTAAACTGATCCTTTAAGAGAAAAGTAGTAAATATTCCACCTGCCTAAAGCTATAGTTCTTACCTTATATGAGGGATGCCAACTCCCCCTTGCAGAATCTTGTATAGTTTGCTTTCATATAGCAGCTGGGGATGCCTGGCCTTCTGTGATTCTAACTTCACAGCTACTTCCTACAGTGGAAAAGGAGACATGGGGGTCAACAGTCCTACTAATCAGGAGGACTACATCTGACTGCTTCACAAAAAATGAGAATAGGGGAAATGATTTGTATCATCCCCAGGATTAGCAATCTCTGCAAATATATTCTACACAATACTTGTACTGAAATCCATTCTTAAAAAGAATGATATTGGGCACCTAAAGTTACTCTGGAATATGTTAAAATTGTGTCTTATTTTTTTGGGGGGGGCGGGGGAACAGACGACAAGATCAGGATGACAACATGAAAAAACAAGCGCAATCTTTCTACAAGAGTGTTTTTTTATTGGTTTCCAGAAAGCAAACAGAATGCCTATGCGTTATGTATTTACTTCATACATCAACTGCCCTACACAAAACGTGGGCATTTTGTGTGAAAAGGGGCACTTCTCAATCCTTTGAATTAAAACACTGCAATCCTACAATCTTAGTGTTGTTGTTTTTAAATCCTCTGCCCAGATAATTTTAAATTTCTATTTGGCAGAAAAGCATCCGGCGTTTTCCTTTAAACGTTACCAAAATGCCAAAACTAAAGCAGGGGGAACGAAAGCCCAGCGGTAGGTTCTCCAAAAACCGAATCAGAGAGAGGAAGACCGCAAAATAAAAGTGCAACCTGGGACAAAGTCCACTTCGAGAGCTTCCACTTCGAGAGAAACAGCTTCCTTCCACCCCGCCGCTCTTCCCACGCAACGGACACCCGGGGTCCGGATCCGGAGCCCGGTACGTGAGCCCCGCCTGATTGAAGGCGACCTCAAGCCTTCAGGCGAGGCATAGGAGGACATCGAAGGAAAGAAGGCAAAAAGGAAAGGCCCGGGCACCGGTCGGCCCTTACCTCCCCGTTGGTGATATTGATGGCCAAGTATATGTCCCCGAAGGAGCCCGAACCAATCTTCCGCACCAGCTTGTATTTGTTCCCGACAATGAACTCGGCCTTGGAGCCGCTGCTGCTCGCCATGGCGACGGAGGGGATGGGGGGGGATAGGGGTTATTTCCCACGGTTTTGAGAGCCCGCGAGTATTCCACGGGGAGCTCCTGCTCGACCACGGCTAGGGACGGGACAGGGGAGGACTGAAGGAGGAGAAGGGGCTTCGTTCTCGGCGGCCTGGATCGCGCTAGGCCTCTCTGGAGGGTGGACGTCCCACGCACTTTCCCGGCTGACAGCGCGCCTTTTCCCCTTCTGAGGAACAGAAGGGGGTCTCGGAGGGGAGGGAGGGAGGGAAAGAGGGAAAAGAAAAGCCCAAGCGAGTCCGTCCTCCGCCGCCACTAACTGGCGCTTCACTCGGCCGCCGCCATCTTGTCTGTCTGTCGCTCTCTCGCTCGCTCGTTTCCTCTCTCGCAGCCGATATCCAGGACACAAAATGCCTCCAGCCCGCGACCGACGCTTCTTCACCGCGCTGAGTACTCTGGGAAACTGGAAGGAACACCAGCCTTGCGCATGCGTCTCCCAAAGGGAGGAAAAGAGGACAAGCAGGAAGTATGTGTGATCTTAACGCCTTGGCAGGGCGAGGCCGGTTCAAAACATGCGCATGCGCAAAAAAGGCGGCGGGCTTGTTCTTTGAAGCGGAGAAACCCCGCCCTCCGTTATGGGGGGGGGATTAGAATTACGCAGTTACCATCGTTCCACACATGCAAAAAAGGTTTGTTACTGTACCTTTCAAGTACAAAAAAAAAAAAGGGCTGGTGACGCGCATGCGCTTTCTGAAGCAAAGGTGCTTTAGGAACATGTCGTGAGAATCGTGTGACTAGTATTCTGGTAAAGTAGATTAAGCCCACTTGTACCTATTTCTGTCAGTTATATTGTTTGTGTGTGTATATGTACGTCCCCACACATACACATACATTCACACATGCATACACATAGGCATAGCGACATACACATACACTGCTCTCATATCTATATATACTTATCTATATATACTTACATATATATCAGCCTGCCTACCGTCCCTGTCCTAATGTTCCCTTTATTTGTATTCATTTTATGTATTCAATTCATGCTTATGCTTATATATATTGTCTAATACGTACTTGACAAATAAGTTCATCAACACTTTTTCTCTGATAAAGAGGTAGGCAAAACCAAACCCAGAAATTGGAGAACTGTGCTATTTCATACAGAAAGGAAAGAAACTTAGTATGAATCTTGTGTATTAATTCAACAAAGATTAATCACTGTTCCTTCCCTGAGGTACATGATGTGATCATTGTTTTCTCTCCAAAGTGAGAGGTAAATGAATAATGAAATGAAAGCTCTTCAGATATTTTCAGAAGTAAAGGGATATTTATAGTGCTGTTTGGATACATCCTTTATGATTCCTGGAACAATGCAACCATTATTTATACATGTATATATAATTATCCCTAATATTTTATGTGACTAACACAAACAATAAAACATTAAAAATGGACAGGATAAAACATACAAGTAGTCCTCAATTTAAGATCGCAATTGAGCCCCAAATTTCTGTTGCTAAGTCAATGGTGGGTTGCTACCGATTCACCTCAGATCCGGCGAACTGGTAGCGGCGGCAGGCTCTGTCCACCTGCCCGGATGCTTCTGCGCAGAAGAATGTGTTGCATGAGCACCCACGAGTGAACTGGTAGCGATGGGTTTTGAAACCCGCCCCTGTGCTATGTGAAACATTTGTTAAATGAATTGTGCCTCATTTTACAACCTTCCTTGCCGCAGTTGTTAAGTGAATCTGGCTTCCCCATTGACTTCGTTTGTCAGAAGGTCACAAGATGTGATCACATGACATCAGGAAACTACAATTGTCATGAGTCAGTTGCCAAGTATCTGAATTTTGATCACGGGACCATGGGAATGCTGAAATGGTCGTAAGTGTGAAAAATGGTCATTAGTCACTTTTCCAGTGCCTCTGAAAGTTTGAACAGTTACTAAATGAACTGTTGCAAGTCAAGGACTGCCTGTAGGTAGTCTCTGAAGGAAAATAGTTCCTGGGTCAGCCGTTCACAATTAAATTGTACTTTTAGCCTAAAGGCCTGTTGGAAAAACATTTTTATCTTTTTTCCCAGAAAAGAAGACCTCATGCAAAGGATTCCAAAATAAAGGGGCTGCTGTGAAGGAGGCCTAATTCTTTTCCCCTTAACATCTTTCAGGAGAGGATTTTTAGCCTGCATAGAGTGGAAGGATAGACCATGTTTCCAAGGTTGCCGTTCTGGGTAAAGATTGTGTTAGATTTTTGTGTCCCTGCATATCAGGGAAGATATGCATCTGTTGTTCAGAGATGTTTGCATAGCTGTTGCATTTATATTTCTGCAAATGTTAACGTTCTGGCTAGGGGGTGCTCAAACAGCAAAGCACCAACACGAAGTCGGATGAACCAATCAGCATTCAGGATATGCACCTCCGCACAACACATACCGCTAGTTGAGATTTGGGGGTTATACACATCGCCCCATCTACAATTATTTGCAACCTATGTTTACCTATCAACCCTTCACAGCATAAGTATGTGGGTATGTGACCCTATGCGTAGATCACACAGTTGTGGACAAGTATAAATCAAACTTTAGGTTGGGGTCGGCAACCTTAAACACTCAAAGAGCCACAAAGGTCCTAATCAGAAGCCCCCCCATTCAATTCTGGAGCTGACCGGAAGTCCAGTTCCCACACCATAGAGTCTCCTCCTAGTGCAGCATCCTTTTTCCTCTACCAGTCCTAACCGAAAGCCCGATCAATTGTAGAGCCAATCGGCAAGAGGGAGCCGCAGCAGAGGGATGAAAGAGCCACATGCGGCTTCAGAGCCGCAGGTTGCTGACTCCTAGGCATACTAGAAACTAGGTCAGGTGAGGAAGATGTGCGAAAAAGCCACATCACTGTGGGTTTGCTGTAACTGGGACTGGAAATGAGTCTGTGACAAAGTCATGGATTGTTTAACTATAGAATGAGCCACGCATGGCTGGGCTTAGATAACATACACCACAGGTTGCAACCATAATAGCTGGTTTATGACACCCAGAATCCTTTGGGAGAGGGTGGGTTATACTGTAACATAAATACCCATGACCAATCCAAGAAGACTTCATTATGCATATAGCATGCCGCAAGCAAGGCATGCTATACTGAGAATTACTGAGGAAAGAATGCAAAGAAGAGCAACAAGCATGACGCAAAATCCTATGAAGAATAATTAAAATGCCTGAATAAATTTAGCTTAAGAAAGAGAAGGCTAAGGAGAGACATGATAGTGGTCTTCCAGTACTTTAGGGCTGTAGTGCTTATGGGTCGGACAAGAAGTAATAGGTACATTTACCAAGAGAGATTCAAAATGAGGAATTTCCTGCTTCCTAGATTTGTGGGTGCTCCATTACTGGAAGTTTTCAAACAAAGGTTGAAAATATTTGTTTCAATGGTCTGAAGATTTATGCCTTTAAATTGGTTGTTCTACCAATCCCATGATTCTAAAGAAACTCAGCATGTATGTGTCCCTTGTCATATAACATGCTTTAATCAAGCTTTATAGTTTACCATATTGTCTTAATCCAGTTTGGCTGCCATTTGTCCTTTCCAGAACCTGGGATTTCTGACCTCTGGAATTCAGCTATATAGGAGTAATATACTCCTCAGTATACTCAGCAAAACTGCACTACTACTCAGCAAAAGATTTTCAAAGCAGTTCTACAGAGTAAAGCTAAGCAACAACAAAATTAAGGATATCTTAATTTTGTGTTTTGTTTCATTTTGTTTTGTTTTTCCTCTCAATAAAACAAAATCTTACTTTCTAGATGTGCATCCTATTCCATTTTCAATTTATTTACTTCCTAATATTTTGGTAACCTATGAATAGTAAGCATATTTTTGAAAACTCTGAAAGAAAAAAATGAAGCTACAGTATGTATAACTGCAAAAATCTGTCGTCCTCTTGAGATCACCAAAGAAATAATGAAAAGTCTCAGATTTTTACAACTCTGATAGGGATAGCTCAAGAAAGAGGATGTTTATCATCTCAAAAAATAAAATGGGAAATTATCCTTTCTCCACAAGAAGATTCATTCTAGAGGCTGAAGTCACTTCCCAAATGTCTTCATTGCTCCAGGATTGGCTATGATTTCATACTGTAACATCATTTCCTCTTCTACAATTCAGTCAATCATTGAAACTTCTGGAAAGGTTTGTTTTTGCAACTCTGTGGTGATTCCTTACTTTTGCATCCTACTAAAGTCACATTAACCAAAATTACAAGATGAAATATGGTTTGACAGCTCTTCAGCTTCCCTTCATAAGAATTGATCAGAGTATTGTGCATAGAGATATGCAATATAAAGAAAGGGTCTGTATGGACTAATTAATTTGCTTTTCTTTCCTTTAGCAAGGAATGGATATGTTTTTGTTGCTGCTGCTGCAGTACCTGTAACAAATTGGGGAAGGACACTGATTTTAGTTTCTTAATAATGAAGAGTATCATAGTGATTTTGAGGATTAGGGGGTGAAACCACTTTCATAATCAAACTAGAGATGAAGAAATATTTTGTATAAAGAGCTGCTATCAATATACTCTTGTACTACAACATAACTTTGAGCTGCTTGTATCAATCAATTCCAATTTAACTTTTGAGATTGGACTTCCAAGGATGCATGGGAAGAATAGAGACAAGAAAAGGTGGTATAAAATAGAAGAATGACAGTCGTGTAGGGTATTAAGAAAAAATAATATGCAGCATTGCTTTATGTAGAATTTTATTTTATTAATTTCCTGAGGTGGGCAGCATATAAATTTAATAAAATAAATAAACTAACAATCAGGGCAACTTGACTGTTAAGAAAGTACAGAATGGGAATAAAACAATTAAAATCCTAATTATTAACAATTAAAAGCTTGATAGAAAGATGTATTGGGTCAACTACCTAAAGACTTGAAGAGTAGGATATATAGTATGGATACCACATAGGAGGTCTTTTCATATATTTTTCGAAGGGCTGCTCCTACTGATAAGAGTAGTTGGGTTGGTTCATAGTAGGAAAAGCAGTCTTACAAGTACATTGTTTAGGACTTTCTAGATAAATAATATGTTGAACAGTAGCCAATTGATAACCAGTGCAAATATTTCAGGAAAGGAACCATACCATACCTGTAGCCTGCACCAGCAGCCTAGCTGCTGCAGTTTGTATTATTTTCAAGTTATGGGCACTTCCAGTTATGTCCCAATATAAGCAGATTGCAATAGTTCAGATGGGTTGTAACCAAAGTATAGGTAACTATTGCTGAGTCATCGTTGTACAAATGTGCTCCTTGTCACAGTGGCATTTCCTCATGCAAGTAAGGTATCAGAAAACACATTAAATTGCAAATTTCATCTCTGCTTCTCAGTCCAGGTTTTTCCTTATTAAGATCACCTCCATTTTATCTTGATTTAATTTCAGCTTGTTCTCTCTGATCCAGCCCATTATTGAGATTAGGCAGCTTTGTACTGTACTGATTGCTTCCTTAGAGTTAGAGGGTAAGGATCAGTAGCACTGAATGCCACCAGTTTACTAATGGTACCTAACTCTTAAGCTCCAGATGGCCTCTCCCACGCATTTTCATTTATATGTTAAAAACTGTAGAGATAAAAGAGACCAAGGGAAAGCATAAGTCACTGACATAGAAATTGTAATTCTCTAGCATGACTTTTTGAATATGACTTTACAGAAAGGATTAGAACCACATCAAAACAGTGCCTCCAAGGATACCATGATTGATGGTATTGAAAGTTACTGAGTGGTCCAAGAGAACTGGCAGGATTGCATTCCCTCTTCCAATTTCCAGCATATGGCAGACCAAATCAGCCTCAGTACCATATCCCAGGTGAATTGTGGCTCCAGAAAAATCAGTTTAATCCAATTACAGTCTATAGCTGTGAGGCCATTGCATTTTCAATCTCCTTGCCTCAAAATAGAATATTTGAGATTGAACTATAATTAGGTTTTCTGGGTCAAAAATGGCTTTTAAAATAAAGGATGTTGAGGGGGTTTTTTATGACTAGTGGTTTATAGGAATATATCCTGTGCTTCCTTAACTATGGGCCAGTCTCAGCTGGGCTGATTTAATCATCCAATAAGGCAAGGATCAAATAAATAAGTAGTGGCTCTTATTTCTCCACCTGTCTACATTCTGTCTACCTCAAACTCTACAAGTTGAAAGGAAACCACTTGAACCTGACAAACACCTTACCAAGCTTACTTCCCTAAAGGTTGCCTCAGTACAGGGGTCCAAATTAAGGTGAATCAGATCAACTTTGTGCACAAAAAATGACAGAAAATTCTCATAGTTACCACTCTTAACCTCTTGACAGAAAATAGACTAATGTGGCATAGCATCACTGGCCTATTGTGTATAGGTGCAGAGGAAGAAGAAATCTCTTGGTTATACTCAACTACCACAAAACAACCTCAAGCCAGCCTGAAGAAGGAACTTATTCCATGTTCAAACCAATTCATTGTGAAAGTTCCTCCATTTGCATTCCAACCTAATCATGCACTTCATTGCTTTTGTTTTCTTGGTAAACCAAGAAGCTAATGATTGAGCTCTACTGGAAGGAAGAGGGTATTTAGAAATTATAGTGCCAAATGATCAGTCCATTTCAACATTCTACAGATTAACCAGAGCTTCAGCAGTATCAACTGCTGAAGCTCTCCAAATGCATTAAAAAAATGTCCAGACTCAGATACCTAGGTTAACTAACTCATCATTTCTGCAGGAGTTAATTGCAACTGCAGTCTAAAACTGGCCAGAAAGCAATCTGGCGATTACAACATAGAGCTTTGCTATCTCAAAACACCATCATCAGACAGAATACCAAATTCAGCAGATGTCTTGTTGCATGCATGGAGCCAAATACAGATTATATAGCTCTATGGCCATCATAGAAGATGAACTTCTGAACCACTCCTGATTCAGTAACTGTGGTATGGAAAATGAAATCTTCCAGGACAAAAGCTCTAGAATTGTGAGACATTACAGCTGTAGAGTTGTGAGGCATTATGGCTAGCTAAGGACTAGTGTTGTTGAGTAAGGTGACAGTACACTAACAGAATCCATATATATTCTGGCCACCAAAATACAGCAAGAAGCATTCTGCATTGGCAGATTTTGGACAGAGCTTCTGGCCAGTCAGATGGAATTCCTAGAAACCACAGCTTACCAAGCTTGACCTGCTGTGTATCCCAGCAGACAGAAAAAAATATTAAATAATACTTAGTGGAATAATATCCTAAGGATCTCTCAAAGCAGGGGTGTCAAACTCATGGCGTCATGTTATCATCATGTGACGTATCACAACTTTTTCCCCCTTCGTTAAACTCTGGGTGGGTGTGGCCAGCACATGACGCATCTGGCCCGTGGGCCACGAGTTTGACACCCCTGTCTCAAAGGGACAAATATCTTATATAGGAATTGATCCTACTATCTCAAAGTGGCAATTGTTTTATCTCAGAGAAAAGGGTGATACAACGTCTCCAATGGGGTAAATTTAGAAATCTAATCATGAAAACATTCTCATAGCTTCTTTCTTCCAAATGGATACTGAAAAATAGCCATATTTAAACACATCGATTTGAATTATAGAAATGTAAATCTCCCGAGTCAAACAGACTTCCTTATCAGAAATAGCGGTGGGAAATATACATGTTGTTCTTTCCTACTCATAAACTTTGAAATATATGATCTTTATTTTTTTGTGTCCATGCTGACATTTATACCAACAACCTAGATAAATTAAACATCTGCAGTTGTTTTTAACAACCTTCTTTAAGCAAGTAAATAACATTTTATTTTTATTTATTTATTTTAAATTTGTATACCGCCCTTCTCCATGAGGACTCAGGGCGGTGAACAGCCAAGTAAAAACATAAACTACAAACATTAAAATACAATTAAAAAGATATATATAAATTTGGCCCCATGATTAAAAACAATAACAGACAATTAAAAACATTTTAAAAAGTGTTAGGCCAGCCCGGCTTGCTGGAAAAAGAAGGTTTTAAGGGCACGGCGGAAGGCACCGAGGTCTTGGATTCTCATTATCTCTGGGGGCAGCTGATTCCAGAGGGTAGGTGCCCCCACAGAGAAGGCCCTCCCCCTGGGGGTCACCAGCCTACATTGTTTGGCTGATGGCATCCCGAGGAGGCCCTCTCTGTGGGAGCGCATAGGTCGATGGGAGGCCGTCGTAGCAGCAGGCGGTCTCGAAGATAACTAGGTCCTATGCCATGGAGCGCTTTAAAGGTGATAACCAACACCTTGAAGCGCACCTGGAAGACCACTGGGAGCCAGTGCAGCTCACGCAGGAGAGGTGTTATATGGGAGCGCCATGCGGCTCCCGTGACTACCTGCGCGGCCGCATTCTGGACCAGTTGGAGCCTCCGGGTGCTCTTCAAGGGGAGTCCCATGTAGAGAGCGTTGCAGTAGTCCAGGCGAGAAGTGATGAGGGCATGAGTGACAGTGCACAGGGAATCCCAATCAAGAAAGGGCCGCAACTGGCGAACTGACAGAAGGTCCCCCTGGCTACAGCCGTCAGATGTTCCTCCAAAGACAGCTGCGTATCCAGGAGGACTCCCAGATTGCACGCCCCCTCCGCGGGGGCCAAAGACTCGCCCCCGATAGTCAGTGATGGAGTCAACTGACTATATCGGGATGCCGGGAACCACAGCCACTCAAGTCTTGGAAGGGTTGAGCTTGAGCCTGTTCCTCCCCATCCAGATCCGCACAGCCTCCAGGCACTGGGACATCACTTCAAGGGCATTGTTGGG